AATGATTCTAACAAGTGAATCTGTTTTTCTTTTTCTATGTCATCCCAGATGCTAATCTCAGTTTCCTTTTTACCATGACACACTGTATTAGATTTAAAAAAAAGTCAGTGTGTCAGAGACAATTTCCCTTCCTAACACCCTTCATCGGCCAGGTTTGGCCTTATTTTGCAGATACTGTTTCCTTTAATTTACAACCATTAAACCATTTTTATTGAACTAAATACGAACATGGAGGTCACTTTTTTTTCAGCTTTCACAAATTTCACAAACTTTTTTGTTCTTGTGCAAAACAAGCCCACTAAGCAATAGCTATTGGATGTTTAGGTTTTTTTTCAACTGTCAAGATTCTGTTTATTTTAGACAGAATTTAGATGTTGCACTTTAATCCATTATTCAATTAACTATTTTTTTCAAAAAGCAACTGTGAGTTGCATAACTGGTCTCCAAGTACTTAACCAAAATAATTATAATAGCTGTTGAGCAATATACAGTGTAGTACAGATAAATTTAGACGTCTAAAAATCTTTCATTTTTAGACCTGTGGTAGCCTGATTTTAGACCAGTCATCTAGGCTACATTTAGACGTCTGTTAGACCTCTTTTAGACCAAAAAATGCTCAGTGGGAGCCCAGTACATGTATTCTCTTTCTCAGAATTCACAGATAAACTTATCGAAGGTTGAAAAACTCCTAGCAAGTTTAAAGGAGAAGCAGCTCTAAGGTGATTTATTTGAGATATGAGGAAACTAATGACATTTTCCCATATTGCAATGTTGCCGTCAGCCCCAGTAAGTCCAGCTCACTGCAGCTGTCATCGTTGAGCTCATATAGGGAGATTTGCGATGTAGCCTTGGGCGTATTGTTGGTTAAGAACAGATATATGAAGAGTACTGCACAGAATTTCTGCTTTTTCAAAAATAGTTCAAGATCTTAGATTATGGTTGTCAGAAGAAATAATAGTTTATATCTAAAAAGCAAAAATGATATGGTTTGATGGTTGATTCAGTTACACCAACCCAACAGAGACAAGCCAGCGACTCCACCAGTGTCCTGAGATAGCCTTTAGAAACGCTGATATAGTGAAGTTACACAGAAAAGGCTCATGTTGCGGGCAGTTTAGTATGCAGTGACTGGATTTAAAATTTGGCAGAAAATTTCAGACTAACAGTATTTCATCTTGGTTGAGTTAAACATTATAAGGTCACATTCGGGTCAACTTTTGCAGGCTCTGTAGATTCGTTTATCCCCTGTTATTCAACGGGAGTCATCGCAACTTCAACCTGGTCCACCCTCGGTCGTGAAAGCCTGTTGGGAGCTGTGTGGAAAAACTCTGGCTGCCCTCAACCAAATTAGCTTGTAACCGGCGTGCTAACTGTCTTGTCCTTTGTTTGATCGGCCTGGCTCCGACTCAGAGGGATGAGCTGTGGTGTGCCGTGTTGTGTTGTGTTGCAGGCATCGAGGTAATTAAGCGGTCACAGTCTAGATTTCCTGGAAGTTGACTGTATTAGCTCCATTCCACTTTATTCTCACCTCCGCTAGTATTTTCTTCTTCCTGGCAACTGTCACACAGAAAGCTTTGGAGTGGGTGTAAATAAGGGAGACATGCATGCCTAATGAGGAGGAATAAAAATGGCTTAATTCTTTTTTGTTTCTCGGTGTAGCTGTGCCCTGAATGTGCAGACGATGGAATAACTTCATTAGAGTGTGAATTGTTTTGTTTCATTTGTTTTATTCCAGCCAGATCTTATCAGTTTTACTTTCACACTTCCTTTAAAAAAATTTAAACTATCTGCTGACATTTCACTAGGGTTGGGTATCGTTTGATTTTGAACGATTCCGATTCCGATTTCGATTCCTCATTTCGATTTCGATTCCTATCGATTCTTTATTTCGATTCTTTTAAAAGGCAGGATATCATAAAAAAAAAAGCATGGTTTGAATGAGGGCGCTAACCGGAGCTCTTCTTTTTGGATGTAATTTCTGAACTTCTCCATGAATTTTTAAATCATATTAACTTTTTAGGAACTTTACTATGAATTTCTCACATTTTCAACCAGTATATAAATATCATTTTTTGTTGTCAGGTCGTTTGTCTATGAAAAAGCACAAGGGCTAACGTTAGTTGGATATTTAAGTTGACCCACCGTACTCAGTGCAATTTGTTTACCGCTTCAAAGTTAGCAGAGGATAGAAGTAATTTATTGTTTCACTTATCTGATCCTGACTGGTTAGCGGAAGACAGGTGTTGTGCTGTAGAATGCACCCCTGCCGTAGAATGCCTCCCCTCCACTGATTAGCTTCTTAAAGTGGAAGACAATGATCTCATATTTAAAAAAACACGGGTATTAGATCATGACAACATGTCAAATGGAGCAGTAAACTTTCGTTTCGTTTTTCTGTGTCTCAGAAATGCACACATAGAGGTGTACTTGGGTATATAAATTGTACAGTAAGCTGTTAATGTAGAGAACATTATATTTTCCGGACAGTAAATATTCAGAATCAGAGGGCTGTTGTTTTCGGCATATCTGAATAGCCTGAATGAAATCATTAAAGGCACACGCTTTAGATTCCGTCCAACGGTAAGGAAAACTTGGATTGTTTCGCCTTGTTGTGTACTTTCAACCGCGCTCCCGTCAGGGGTGCATTCAACAGCAGGGGTGCATTCTATGGCATAACACCGGCTAAGCGCGTCAAAGACGAGCACTCGGGTATTTCTCCTCCGTGAATCCTGAGGTGTTTAATCATGTTTGTCGTTTACCCTCCTTTGCATGATATAACTGTATTGCTAATGTTGCATTGAGATAAGAGCTCATTCTTCCTGCTAAAGTTAGCCAAACTTTTGACCAACGAAGAAGAAACTGCCGAACACCAACGAGGACGGAGCGTATGAGACGAAGTCACACAGAGAGAGGAGAGAGACAGAGAGAGATTACATTGTAACCCACAGCGGCTGCATTGCTGTGGGTTGCAATGTACTTTCTCTCTCTGTCTCTCTTCACTTTCTGCGTGGCTTCGTCTCATACGCTCCGTCCTCGTTGGTGTTAAGCGGCTTCTTCTTCGTTGATTTTCGGCGGCTATTTCTTCCGGTCGGCGGACTCCGGCATCGAAACTTGGAATCGAAATTTTTATATTTGAACGATACCAGAAGAATCGAAGTTTTAGTCTCGATTCCCATCGATTCTCGATTCTCGATACCCAACCCTACATTTCACCCCCTGAACTCACCTGTTACACTCACATAAGTCCGTATGAAATACTAACAGTCATTTCTTGTCAGTGATATGTGCTGTGTCAGGAAGTATAAGGCGAATCGTAGAAAGAATCGTAGAAAGAGAGGTCTTCTGCTCTCAGATTTACAACTGTGGGGTCAGCAGCGGAGCTGGAGCAGAGTGGTGCAGAGCTCTCCTCCTCCTCCTCCTCCTCCTCCCTCCTGGCCTCCTTCGCCTTCCCTGGTCCCACCCAATGTTTTTTTGCTCTGTTACTGTATATGGGTCATACTGCTATTTCATGAACACGCTGGTAAATGTGTTCTCTGTTACAGCAAGTGTATGGAAATAAGTGCTCAAACCTTTACCTTTCAGTGCACGAAGCCACACAGCAGAACAATGCTGCTTTTGAAGTAAAGGTCGGGCTTTTCAACTTCATCTCTGTGCAGTTTAAATTAGTGTAAACAAACTAATATGACTAAAAGGCCACTCTTTAAAATCTAGTTATTGGTTATACATCCAGTTATGTTTCCCTCAGCCTTTAATATATCCTTAAATCCTGCTTAATGAGCTTTTCATGTCAACTTTCTTTCAATCGAACCTCAAACTTTAATTTTGAAGCACTCTAAACTGACTAGAAGTCTAAGAAAGTTTATCTTAATGCTCTCCACTTTTGTTCTTTTCACATGTTATCAGTGTGTATGACTGTGTGCAGGAAAAGCCCAAGTCCTATGTAATTATTTACACTATAGAATCCATACAGTACACTCTGTTTCAGGGTTTTGCTCATGTGTTGCACTTCCTCCCTGATGTAAATATTTTGTAAAATTAGGATAAAAAAAAAAAGCAATTATCACATTATTGCCACAACAGACTTAATCGCAGTGGTAGGTAATATGTATACTGCTGTTATCTGATATTACGCCGCTAAAAATAAACGATGAAAACAAGAAAACTCAACGGAGGAACAGTAAGAAACATGTTTGTGATTAGTCTCTGCAAACATATTGGATTCTTTTACATGTGGAGTTAAACGTTTGTGTTGCCACCGGTTTACCTGCGCCCCCTCCGTGAGAAAAGTCACCACAATCTGGGCCCGAGCAGGAAGGCAGGATGTTTTTGATGAAGCAGTGGGCTTAATTTAGGTCCAAGTATTCTCAGTATCTGTCACCTAACTCCCAACGTTCGCAACACACAGCGCGGGAGGCATGTGTGAGTTGGTGCTCATGTTTATCCAGGCAGGCGGGTAATAAATTCAAGAAATGTACACCAACACTTTGCCATGCTAAGAAGACAGGAATACTTGCTAAAAGACGTGCATGTCCTCTTTTTTTTTTTTACAATGTGAATAAAAATAATAGCAGATTTACAACCGACCATTGCGAAATAGTTTCTTTTAAAAAGTCTCTTATTATGAATGATTAATTCTGGATATTAGGAATATTCCATTAACCCTGCCAAACACCCAAAATCTTGTTGTTTTTTTTTAATTTTCAAAGAATTGGCTCAGTTTTAGCTCCTGCTTGGCCATAAAATAACCAAACAGGCGTTTGTAATGCCAGCAAACCAGCCAAAGTAAAAAACCAATGCCAACAACCCCTGCCAAAGACTTCATCTTGCACCCACTGTTCTCTTACTGATTTACAGAGACATTTTGATGCCTTCTCCTTTCAATTACAAAGTTTTTATACCCGTATGATTTATTTTGTTCATGAAGGACGAGCACTCTATGTTGTCAATTGGGTACGTACTGTTTAGTTCAATTGCATAAACCCGTCTCCTGTAGTAAAATCTGTGTTTGATGAACACGTGCGAACGGTGAAAGCTGTGATGTGGTTTTTTAAAAACCCCGTAAGGGAATCTGGTGACGCTCTGACCTCGCAGCTTGCCGTCATTGGAGTGTTGTATTAAATGAACGTGCTCTGACTAGTCAAGTGACTGCAACAGGGTGCTGAGAGGGGAGGCGTGTGGTCGTCATGTATCCGTAACGAGTGGAAAGAAAGGAAGACCACACAGCAGCACGGTCAGATCAGGTTGTCAGAGACCATATTTAAAATCTGGGTCAGAGTCCAAAACCATAACCTCTCTCACTCACTGTGGCTCTAGATTCCCTCCTCTGCACCCCATTTCTCCTTCATCTCATCCCACTCTCTTTCTTCTCTTCTTCCTCATGCAGCTTTATCTCCTCCTCGCACACTCAACATATCCACGAGTCTTTATTTCATCCACTAATTCTGTCTCTCTCCTCTCAAAACGTGGTGCCTGACATGTGGTGTTGAGGCAGCAGTTTGTGTTTTGTTCCACAGACAGAAACTTCAGATTCTCAGATTATAATCACCAACTTCTGTACGAGGAAAACAAGCCTCTTTTTCAATAACCTAATTATCTAAAAACGTCCTTCAAATCTTGAATTGTTGTAAATATCATGTTAGATTTTGAAATGTTTGCTCATCCCCCATTTAAGAAAATTGAAAGTGCATGTAAAAACCAGCTGAATGATTTATATATAGATCTAGCAGCAGCTGTATTACCATATCTGTATTCATATAGATATATTATAAATATATATATCTATATACTATTTGCATTAGTATATCTTTAACAAACCTAGCTGCTAACTCTCGCCAGATTTTTTAATTTCTAATATTAAATGCTACAATACGTCTATTCAATTTGACCTCGTTACAAGAAAGAAGGCAAGCACAGCTATGATTTCCATATTCATAGTTATTAAAATGCAGGTACTTCTGTTACACAGTAAACAAGTAAGACACAAAAGGGTTCGTGAGTTGTGTTTCTAAGAAAAACTCCAACAGTAGTAGGAGAGTCAGGATTGATAGACTGGAAAACTTGTCTGTTTAATGTGGCCGAGGATTTCTTGGGTCTGTTTTAGCTAATTATTTGATGAATGGGATAAAGTTAGCCTAATTCAGAGAAGCATTATCATCAGTATCATAGTATCACAAGAACAAAAGCAACTCAATACTGTTGTTTAGTTGTGTTGTGTCAAAGTGATGGGAAGTGGTTACTCGTGATGGGAATAGAGAGACAGGAGCAGCACAAACCACTGTTGTAGACGACATTATACTGTTATTCTTACAATAACAACTATAAAAATGAAACAGTTATGAAATAATTTATGAGTAATTTTTTAGTAAAATATTGTTACTTCTGTTATCTAAGGTGACCATAATCTGATTTCCCAAAAAGAGGACACGACTACGCGGGGACGGAGTCACGGAGTCACACCAAGTTAATTTTGAAAGTTTTTCGGGTCGTGTGTCTTTTACACGCTTCTAACTCAGTAATGTCACATGACACAAACTCGAAACCAACGTGCAAAACCGCTGACATTTAAAGGATTTTATAAACTTCCCCAGACACAACCAGACAAACCCGGAGAGCCCCCCGAAAAAGAGGGCATATCCGGGTAAAAAAAGACGAATGGTCACCCTATGTTATTAGCCAACTAGAGTAACTCAAAGTCATCATCTTTGTTCAGGTCTGTTAACCAATCAGAGGCTGCACCTGCAATCAGCTGACCTGTCCAACCAAAAGCCAGGCCCTCCCTATCTCAGAGAAGTAAAGGTTATATAACTCATAAAATAAAATCCACAGGAACTGATATGAGAACTGATAAAGATCGGATATCAATATTGACATAGCTATCGATTTCCATTACTCCGTGTGTGCCAATCATCCTTTTCGCTCTGCTCACTGCCTCAGTGCCAAAATGGCAATCGCTGGTATTTGTGGCGAGGGAGCTTAGGACATTTTGAAATTGTAGAATCTCCAGCAGCTTTTTAATCCGACATGTGGAGGCATTTTGGTCACCTCATGTCAAGAAATGAGAAATGAGAGAAGATGACAGCCAAACAAAAAACAAAACACAAACACTGGCAGGCTTCCTATGTGTCAGGGAACACTTGTAAAATGAGAACCCACTTGGCTGATCGTCACCCCCAATAGATTTAAGAGGAAGAAAAAAATCAAGCCAAGCTAAAAGATTGTGGAGGAAGTGTTTTACAGCTCAAATTCCCCATAACAATGAATAACACTGAATATAAAGCCCTACAGTTATCCTCTGTGGTCAAATATGAAGGATTCAGAAGGTCAGTAAACATGTTAGAGTCTGCTGGATGGTCATACTTTACTCAAATACCGTTGCCAGCTTTCTACAAAGAGACAAAGGCTGAAGTTACACAGAAACTCAAGCAAGCTGAGTGCATCTCACTCACCACAGAGGGGTGGATTTCTCATACTTCATGGAGCTCTAAATAACTTTTTTCCTGTTTTCATTTGCCATTTCTCAAAATATTGTGATATCATGAGCTGTTGTGATGTTGTATCCTGAAATTTCGATACTGTTACAGTCCGGAAAAAAGTTATTTCTTCCTCTAGTGTTTGATAAGTTGAATCTCTAGCTCTGATACTTAAGTGAGGAAAAGACACCATGCCTTTCTTTGCATTAATATATCTTTAACAAACCTAGCTGCTAACTCTCGCCTTTATACGTTAAGATATATCTCTGTACTTCACAGATTCTTTTATTCATTTATGTGCGATACATATTTTGACTAGATGCTGTGCTATTGTTCCGAGGTGTGAAATTGTAACATAACTTATTCCCTTCGAAAAGGCTGCAAACGCTCCAGGGAAGTTTCATGTTTTACTGCTTGGACACAATTAAAGACCTAGTGATAGAGTTTTATTTAAGATTGAAGAGGTGCCACCCTGATGCTCATTCTCGTAGACAAACCTGGCAGCCCGGCAGCGACTACAACAGCACTCTTGCCTCTATTTATCATGGGAAACTGGCAAACACTGTGCAAATCAACTGGCATAAATGTCTGAGCTTGGTTTCAGCTGGGTGGCTTCAGGAGCTAATGTGGCGCTAATGTGGCTGCCAACAATAAGACACGATGACATTGTCCTGTTTTCAAGCTGGAGGTCTCCCAGTAAGGAGCTTTCTTGAATGCCTCATCAGTGTGACACGGAGACGGGCCTGCCAACCAGCAGCGGAGCTGAGCTGAGCTGCAGAGCTGCTTTAGAGCCCTGCTGAGACCTGCCAGACCCACAGCTTTCCCTGCCAGGGGCCTCCGCTTGCAGTCAGAGTGAGTTACAGCCCATGCTCCTTTCACACACATGCTAACACAGAAACCCACATACAGAGAGCTGAAACATGTGCAGCATACAGGCATGTAGGCGCATGCAGAAGTGGAACATGGAGTGGAGCAAATTTGCACAACCACAGAACCAGTACACACATAGTCTGGACTTTAATATGCAGACCAGTGTAAATGTATGCACACACATGCAAGACCAGAGAGTAGCCCTACTGGACGTGTGCGCACCACACACAGAGAAAGAGTACAAGTCTACGCCATGGCTGTAAAACTGCAGTCAAGTCTGCATGTCATTTTACAGCTGCTCAGGGTTCATTTAAGGTCAACGTACAGCATCTGCAGGATCAGCTGGATTGATTTGTCTGGGTAAACAAGCGAAGTGAACATGAGCATGTGCGCGAACAGGGGCTAAGCAGCAGAAGTGTGTTGATGGGAGGTGGTGAAGGAGCATCAATATGTGATCAGTGCGGCGTAGATGAGAATGATGGGTGGATACATGAGCTGCATGTTTATGCCAGGAGGTGTGGATAAAAGAAATCAATCTAGAGCCCTTGAAGATCTACACGGAGGACAATGAACTGGATGATTTATAGATTATACATGTATTTCTGATAAAGTGGGATTTTTCATTCTTATATTGCACAGTTAAATCTTTCTAAATTTTTCCCATGACTTGAACAAATCCATTTTGTCATGCCTTCGTGTGATAAAGTTGATGTAAATAATGAATTAGTAAAAGGGCAATGAAAGCAGTTTTTCTGAGAATGAGGTGAATGTTTCTGTGACTTTATCACTGGCATCCCTGTCAACTAACAAGAATGACTTGTATTGTACATACTGTGTTGCCACAGGGCGCAGTGAGATGACCACGGTTCATGTGAGGAAATGATCACACGGATAAACGTCGTCCAACCATGTGTCAGCAAATCTCCCCACAGGCATGGCAGTCGGGTCTTTGAACATAGCTAACAGCATGACTAAAATCATTAGCTGGACCTCAAGGGTTTTTAACCACCAACATTATCCTACTGTCTTCCTCTGCTATCTTACAGCCGTCAACTTCTCCTTTGGCCAATTTTCTGCCGTCCACCTTTTTCCTTATTCGTCTCATTAGTGCTGCTGGGAGGAATCATCAAGTAGAGACCCGGTGAGTCAAACTTGCCCAGATAGCCAGATTTAAAACGTCCATATTTAGCACCAGAGGAGTCATAACTGCCCGTGCTAATAATAATACCATGTTAAAAAGATCTTTTGAATCATCCTTCTCTAGAAAATTGTGTGAAATTTCATTCAACATGCTTAAACTTTGAAATAAAAAGCACTCTGTGAAGTTTTTTGGATCGGTGGTTTCCTGAGTTCATGGCACAGCGCTGGATGGTTTGGTGATCGGTGCTAGTTTAGGGAAATTGGTCCAACATTGTGGATCCACATCTTAAAAAGAAGGTTCACAACATTTGCAAAAGTAGCTGTTTTTTGGCTTTCAAGTTGGATTAATGGAAAGTTGTGCCGATAAACAACAGGAGTTACCCCGAATTTCCACCGCATCTGGAACGGCTCCGATCCAGAACGGCGGCAATTTTTGCCATCCGCCAATTCCTACTGGATTTGTTTGTGAGGCGAATTATGGCGGGTTACGGACAGCAGGAATTGCTAGAACTCACAAAAACCCGCGGATTCACATGCAATCACGCGATAACGAGTTGTCTCTATAGCCACATAAGCATAAAGGCAGTAGATTGTGTCCTTCCAGAGGAGGAAATCTACATCTAGACTTTTTGAATCAGCATCTCCTCATCCATGGTGTCATCGGAGTGAAATGCTGTCTAAAAACCTTTCACTTTTTCTTCCCCACCTGTTTGCATAGTGTAAAACACGATACCCCTGAAACATGGAGTGTTTTATTTTGAAAAGAAGCAGGATGTTTTATTTTGTGTCTGTGCCCGACTTCCTTTCCAGCACGGGTTAATCTGTGCTGAATTTATCCGGCATGCTCTGGCGTCCAGAAAAAATAGAACTCTTGCGATCAGCTGCGGAACAGAAAGAAGGCGGTGGAAATTGACACATTAACTTGAATGGTTACGATCGGCGGATTTGGCCTCTTTGTAGCCGTTCTGGATGCGGTGGAAATTGGGGGTTAGACTGCGTTGGTTGTACAATTGAACAATTCAGCACCAATAATGTCAGAGACTGTAATACTAACTCCTAAAGTTGGAAAGTTTGAGTCCATGTTTGTAAATTATTGACAAAAAGAAGCCAAGGAACAAATTGTCTTCTACTTGGAGGGCCAAGCACAAACCGGATAGCTTGTCTTGTCCTTAAGGTGATGGAAATCGTCAATGTTCATGTCAGACAAACATCAACTATAAAAACTTGACTCTTTACGATGAAGCTGTGCGTGAACATGATCAGATTTAGCACCCACTTGAGAGCTGACAACCAATGTTTTGCTGTCCGTATGATCCAGCAGTGATATATTGTTTGAACATGAGGAGCTATAGAGCTTGTGTCTACATTAATCCCAGGAATGTTGATGTGGTCCAGAGTTTTTAAACGAGGCGTAGGCGTGGAGTAAGAGTCCCCTGGAGCAGAGTTAAGGTCTTAAAGCACTAAAAAGCCCTGACCCAGACTGACGCACCCACTCACAGAGACACAGCACCTCTTTCCAGCCAGGCATATGCTTTTCATACTTTGGCTATGCAAGAAAACGCACACAAGGAAACACACCATGAACAGACCGAGAAAGATCAGGAGGATGTTAACAAGGAACAACAAAAATACTTTTCTTAGATGAAGATGAGCACAAAATGTACCCAGCAGCAGCAGACATCGAACAAATACAGATACACAGCCGAACACATCCCTGTTGTTTTGTGTTGCTTGTCATGCAATGAGGAACACATGACTTAAATCGGGTGTGGTGCGTGACCTCTTATCAGACAAAAGCGTCCCACAGAGAGAGCTGATGGGGGAGACTCATCTACCCGCCTCTCGGCAGTCATGAGGTCTTCATCCCGTTCTCCACGCTAAGTCTCGTGGTTCAAAGACCATAAAAATGTTGGCGGCATCTTGTCAATAAATCATCTACTTAGCCTGGAGAAAGTGGCATTAACGGGGGGAAGGAAGTGCACAACACTATTTTCAAGGCAAGTTTAGCGAGAAAGAAGCCTTTACATTTCACTTTGACTTCTATAAACGTCTCACCTTAAGGGCCGAATGAGCGGTTGGCATGTCACATAAACTCTTCAACTCAGAAAATGCAGGAGTTACATAACGTAGAAGGGTACATCCTGTTTTACCGATCGGTTTCCTGTCTTTTCCATTAATTTAAGCATTATAATGTCACTGAGATGTGGGGAGTCAAAAAAAAAAGGATGTTTTCACTGAAAACTCTGCAAGAGTTGTGTAACCCAATACGACCATCACCATATATTTTTATGTTGCAGGGTAGGTTTCATTGGTAGGTAGTTAAAATGCTTCTGTGGGTGTTAAAACGGCTAATAAAGCAAACTGTTCCACAACCAGGTCAGAGCACCTTTTTTTTTGTTGTTGTCATTTTAGAAATCGTTAAAAACCCAAGGTCAGCAGACAGAAATGGACAGGAGATGAGGGTTTCAAGAGTTTACCGCTGAACATCCTCTCAGAGAGCTCCCCTCTTTGATTTTGTTGATAGCTGGAAAAGTGTTACCAAAGGATGAAATCAAATTGAGTAGAAATGTGTGAGGACATCTGTGTGTCTGTAAAAGCAAGCTGTCTCATCACAAGGTACTGTCGCTGAGAGGCGATGCTCCCGGGCAGCAGGGCCGCTGCACTCTAAATCAGAGCAGTGTTCATCGGGTTCATCCACTGTGGAGATCTGAAAAGAGCTGATTGTCTGGTGCGGCGCTGATGGCTGCATGAAAATCAAGAGAAAAAAGCTTTGGATTGTAGGCCCATATGTAGCATGGCTAATGGCCGGCTGAATAGAAAAACCGAAAGGATCAAGGAGTGTGAAACAAATTCCCGCAAAAAAGACTCTCCATTTAATCATGACCTTCTTAAGTTCATCAGCTGATGTGAAATACTCCGTTTAACGAGGAAAAACACAAGTCAGATTTATTCTTGGATTATGTGTATCATGTAATAAACTTCTCAAAAACAAAGGTCTGCTGTTTCTGTGTTTCTGCTGAATATTGCTTCGCTGCTCTTGATTATGACTCATCAAAAATCAGAATATGAAAGAATGAGGTTGATTGTTTCTGTGTCGTTCTGTAATTTATTCAATTTTTTTTCAGGTGTTAATAAATCATCAGCTGTTCAAACTTCAGGCTGTTTTTGACTTACTTTGTTCCCAATTATCTATATCAGTGGTTGATGATTATCACTTTTTCACTGGCCGATACTGATAGTGAGAAAGCAGGTTTGTTGATATTGTGTTGTTGCTGTAACAACAATTTAACATCACTAAAAAGTGGGAAAGCAACTATTTTAAACTCACATATATATTCTATTTGATTATTAATACTTTCATTAAGAGGAGTTGGTAAAATATAGCCGCAAGGCACTCTTCAATATCTGTCAAGCCATCAGAAATTATTAAGGAAGAAAAAAAACATCAAATTTAAGTATTTTTAATGTTTAAATTTAAAAAAGAAAAGATAGAAATCCATTGTTTCATGGACTTTCAAAAACTAATATTGGACTAATAATGAATTGATGAAAAGAGAAAAAAGACTGGGTTATACAATGGACTCCAGAGCACGGCTCATATGTATGCCAGAAGCAATATCAACTACATTTTTCTATAAATCATGACATCATTTACATCTAGCTGTTGAATATTTTAGTTTTGATTTGATTTGCTGTCTTTTAGGATGGGAAAATGTGCTTTTATTTAGTAATGGTGATACCAGCCCTGTGAGGACTAATGCCAATATGCTGCTGCTGAGCCTATTAAAATGTCATTAATCGTCTCACTTAATTGGCCGAGTCTACCTTCAATATAGATCCTGGCTTGTGCTTCACTTATTCCTATAGATTTAGGAGACTTTAGACCAAGTGCCTGTTAAATAGAAGTGTCACATAGCAAAAACATAACATTAGCCCTATAGAAACTCTTGCCTATACAGTTCTTGAATACATTTTTTTCCGATCTAATCCCATACCGATACCTGGGCTGAGCGTATCGGCCAATATCCAATACCAATCCAATACTACTGTTGAATGATGAACTGTATACCTTGCACTGTGAGTGAAGGAATTAGCCTTGTTAAAAAAGGTAACAAATTAACACAGATATAATTTACTTAATATTATTTATTAACAAAAAACTAATTGCACATTAGCACACAGCAAAAAGAAGTAAGACTTCCATGTATTACAAGAAAAATTAATTAAAAGAAATAAAGACTGGATCAGCATCATTCATCTGATATCCAATCCAGTTAATTTGTCAATATCGGAGCCGATATCCGATCCAAATATCAGATCGGTGATAACATCTGGGTGATGTTGTTTTTTAACAAATGTAGCTCTGACAGTAGTACACAGCAGTGGAATAATACACATTTTGTCATTAAAGCTGATTATTTCTCAAGTAAGACGATCAATTGGGGATTTCTTAAAAATCAACTACAGATTTTAGTTACAATGCAACCATGCTGCTCATTTCTGTGAATGAAATACTTTTGGAAAACAACAGCGTTAAGAAGACGTGGAAAAAATATCCCCCATCGAGCCTCGGCTACAGGAGGATTCTTGTAAGTGGACTCAATATGGCAGTGTTACTTTTCTTAAAACCATCTCCACAATGTACCCAGCCCTTAATAAATAAAGGAGGTCAACAAGTTCGATTTCTTCACGTGAGTCATACGAACCTTTACGTTTTCCACGAACACTCGCAGAATAGTTTCTTTTGTTATTTTTCCAACCATCTGCCATTGTTGAAAACATTGATGGAATAACTCAGGAAGCGTTTACAGTATAACACACTCATACACATGCTCACACACACACATATATATATTTGAGGTTAGACCAGGAAGCTCAAGAGGGAAACCAGTTATCAGGCTTTGACTGCAGTTTAATGTAAAACAGGATGATTAGGTCTTCATGTTCCATGCAAAGTGACAGCTCGAGAGAGTAGAAACGCTGTCAACCATCTAAACATGTTTAGTTCAGCCTGCCTGAAGATGTGACAGTCTCTCATCCAAACACACATAAACACACCATCAATGAGTCACACATTCCTCACGTATAAAATACTTTCTCACACAAATGTTTGATAAGCGACATCACTCTATTGGAGTTTCAGTGGTATGTAACATGCTGCTGTGTGCCAACTAAACACTTTCACTTAAAAAAAATAAAAAAGTGTGTATTTTTCCGCTAAGAGGGAGAATGACAGAAATAGCGGTGTTTTGAATCGCAGCAGCTTTCAGTACCTGGTCTGGTTTAAGTTAACGTTACGCATGTAAGAAGAATCTGTGGTGTTTGTGTGAGTTCCTGAGGCACAGTTTGGCTAACTATGAAATTCCTTCAAATCCTTCAACCGAATTATTAGCTGATCCGAACAAAGCGGACTGAAAACTGCTCAGAGACGTCACCAGAAGTTACGTTTAAATAAAACAGAGCAGATGGACGCAAGAAGGACCTCTTTGTCATGACAGAGAGAGGTGTCACTCTAGTTTAGTGTCAGTCCTCGCTCATTTGAAACTTCATCCAACGTCTGAACTGTGGGGAATCCCCTGACTAATGAATGAAAAAAAGGGGGAGAAATTATCTTCAGTTTTTTTTTTAATCTTTAGAGTTTATTTATTCATAAGAGATCTGAAAAACCCCTAAAGTGCTATTTAAAAAAATCCACATTTTAGGGCCTACCCACACTGCCAATGAGCCTCATCAAGAAGCTGCATCAGGAGACACGCCTGGACAGCCTGTGATCCACACCCTGAAACTACATTGGAGGAACTTCTTATATAGTCCAATGAGACCAGTCCAGGATTTGCAAACATGCAGACACACCTTATCTGAACTGCTTTTCTGACACTGAACAGGCACCCAAAGATAAAAACAGCAAAGGCAGCAAGCCAGACGAAACTCACACCTAAGAACTTAAAATACAACCCCGTCATATCCTACACTCAAAACGCCCGCTGTTAACAATAACTAAATGTTAAAACAAGGCCAAAATATCAGCTAAAGCTTGTGTGTGTCAGGGATAAACACACACAGCTGTTAGTGTCCAGCGTAGCCAGTGAACAATGCTGGCAGCTCCACACCTCCAGCACAAGGGACACATTAAGAGGAATAGTAGGAGGAACTGGCCCGCTTACTCTACAGGCCAGTCCCCGGTGCATGTGTATGCATGTGTGTGCGTGTGTTTTATGTAAAATGAACTCATCCTTTGAGTGGGATGAAAACCTTAGTGCGGGGACATGAGGATTGCAACATGCCTGCAAACTCGACAACAAAAAAAGTGCTAAATTTAAGATATTTTTGCATCTCAGCTGATTAATCTGAATTTAATTTAATTCTTTTAAATAAAATGATCATGTTTCGGAATTATTTTCCCTCTGCAACCACACAGTGACTTTATATAATCCTACATATATATATTTATACCTCAAATTACAAAAGTTGAAAACATTAACACGTTTCAGTTTTGCTTAGACTTTACATTCAGTTTGAGCTTTAAACCACTCAAGAGCAATCGCATACCTTATTAAGCCTTTACTGCACATGTATAGTGTTTCAACTAGCTAAGCTACCTCAAAAGTGTCAAGCATGATGATGACTCATACCTTCGACCAACAAATGTTTTCTTACTTACACTCCTGCATTAGTCAAGTCCCACAGAGGGAGATGATGTTTCAGAAGCGACTAGAAAGAGATGCCACGCTCGCTCGCTGGCATGTTCCATTGCTCAACCTGTTGATCAGGCTCCCTCCCATAGGGCCTCAACGCTGACTTCTTTGTGGGCTGTTTCTGTTAAAAGCAGCACCAAGCACAAGTGGTTTGACTGCCAACTGCCCCGAGCGGAAAAAGAAACGTCTGTATAAACATTTTCCTGAGTTTGGCATACTTTAGGTTAAAACATGAGCATGTTGGTGCACATGCGAAACTGGATGAAAGGCTGAATGAGAAGTTGCAACTTCAACGTCTGTCTTAGTTTTTTGCAAGAGCATGAAATCTCTGATTTCAACAGCAATCCCCATGGCCTTCAGTGACACATGACCCCTAACACTGCACTCAGTCACTGGTATGATTGGCTGCAAACACGCACACACACATGCACACTAATGTGTACGCATACAAACATATGCAGGAGAACACCCTGAGCACTCGCTCTCAGCACTCCCTCTTTTTTTTTTTTTTTGATGGACACAGCAAGTAGCACAAGGTTTTGCCATCTTGTTCCCAAAATAGCCACCAGTTAGCACGGCCAGGTCAGATGGTTTTGAAGCATCTATGGCAAACGGCGTTGGAGTGGAGGGTTGAAGGGTGGAAACAAGCGCATGACCAGCTCTTGCAGAGCTCCGGAGGGGTGGACATGGGTGGGCCTCAAGTGGAGTTTTTTTTCACATGTGGGTGACAATAAGTGTGAGAAGAACAACGAAGGGGCGTCAAAGGAAAAACTGCATGTGAGCGTGCGTGTGTCTCTGTGTGTGTGTGTTTGTACGTGTACATTTGGGAGCAACAGATGGTAGGCCTTCGATTTACAGCACTTTGTTTAAGTGGACACATCCACAGTGGTTCTTACAAGCAAAAAAATTTACCGGCTTCAGCACTTTTAATTTACGAGTGCAATACAACTTTTAAGTGCTTCAAAATTACCTCTATCAAGTGTCTTGTTTTGTTTATTATTTTGCTGTCTGCTTACATTATCCCACATTTCAAACAATGTTCAAAGAAATCCTTATTTTCAGTTCATTTATGGGGAACTTAGACAAGAATAATACATGAGAAAGAGCAAGAGTATCATTGAAATTTTTGATTAAAGTTTGGTTATTTTAGTACAGGAATAAAATCCATGTATATTCAGTATTTTATGAGTTATCTGTGATGGATTTTCATTACTAATTTATTTATCTATTTTTATTTTATTTAAGTAGCAGCTACTTTTCCCGGGGTCTGCAAGAAGACAGTAAACATTCATATTGATTACAGAGATAAAAGTCAGAACAGAAAAATTATACAAGATGTTAGAATCATAACTAAAACACGAATTATGATGACATTACATTTGCAATTGCAATAGACACCAATAAAGGCCAAGATAAATCTACTAAT